ATATGGGTTTAGGTCGCTGGCACCGGGCCTGTTCTTCAGTTGGATTCTTGAGAAGGTTCCTTACAAGCCTCCAGAAAGGATTTCCCTAGACACAAAGTCACAACATAAAGTATAGTTCTAAACATCTTATAAGCAGGTTAGGAAAAGAATTTGTGTTTTACCTGATCATCTCCTTGTTTAAAGTCAAATGCTCCAGGTCCATCAGTTGTTCCTGCAGCAAAACCAAAACCCATTGCAGCTGGACATGTTTTCACAACTTTGGAACCTCCATTTTGTCCATTAATCGTCACTTCAAGCTGAGAGAAATCAACAAATGCATGACGATAGTCGACTTTTCCTTGTATCTCCTCAGAGGCTTTAGTGAAAAGATCCGCAGCCTTCTTGAACTGCCTCTCTCCAATAAGGCGCGTACTCTCAACTTCATCAGGGTAGCTGAAACATTTAGTCATGCCAAGTTATGCATCTAACAGGCTTGGATCTCAAGTACCTTATTGAACTGAGAGAGAACATAATTTTCTATGATTGGTTATTTGCATTTCTGAAAGGAAAGTGTGCAATTAAGAATAAGATGTACCCTGGTCCATGGCCGTAGCACTGTTCATTCTTTCCACCACAAGTACTGTGGTTGAAGTCACAAGGAAGGCCTGTGTCTATACAGAATGCTCCCAACACGTTCGGACTAACATCACCGCAGTTAGTTTGACAGAAGGCAGAGACAAAGATAGGTTTGTCAGCGTGTCTGAATCCACTTCTGACCCGCTTAGCAACGCTTGACATCTTTGTAACGGTTTTACCGCCTGTAGACAGTAACGAGGATGCCATTTCCATCAAATCTTGATCTGCAATGAAAGCAACAAAAGATAGTTCAACAATAACACGCCATTACCAAAACTCTTGGAGCTATTATTACTTACACTCACCATGAGGATCTGTGATTATGCTTGAGACCCTTCTATGAGATTCAAAATCATTTGATGCGCGGCAGTCTTTTTGTTCAAACCAGTCTTCCATGAGACGTGCTGCAGTGCCTTTGTTGTCCCCACTGATCAAGGAATTTGTACGGCTCATCGAAGTGCCATGAGTTGCAAACCAATTGAAACTACCCACTGGACCCCATTGATCATCAACGAACTTGACAAGTGTCATCTCTTTATCGACATCATATTCATATTTACTACGTTCATGTGCCGGATTGTTAAGGTATGCGCTGGGACTACGGTTCACACCAGCTTCCAAGAGCTCCCCTACAAGTTCAGCTCCAAAAGAAATGTCTTCAGAGAAAGCAACATGTAAATGAATTATTAAAAAAGTGTGCCACAAGCTGAATCGCTCACCTTTGTTGATTAAAATGGACCCGGGACGGAGGTTTTCATGAGCTTGTATGATACTTTTCTCTATACCGTCCACAAGAACATTGAACGACTGATGAACAAACCCGAGAGATGTAACTAAGTACAGAATGTATTGGAGATAACCCCCTGGGCCAGCATGAGTATGAGTTCCACTAATTGCAACATTTTCCTCAGTATAAAGCTCACCGTACCTTCAAGGAAATTGAAATTGAATTAAATATGCTTACAAGAGTATGTTACAAACTTACAAGATAGACCTACCTACCTACCTCTGTTTCAATCTTTCAATCACTTTGATTGTCACAAGCTGTGAGGCCATACCAGCATCAAGATTAACAAAAGCAATCCTTTTCTTGTATGGCTCAGCCACGATGAACGCGCGAGCTCTAAGCCTGAAGTGAACACCGGATGTTACTTGTTCCATGTTAGCATATCCCATCATGTTGACATCAGCTGCAGGTCCCGTGATGTCATAGCTTCCAAGACCGATCAAATAATCGGAATCCGAAAATACACATATGATCTTCAACAGAAATAGCAAGAACAATGTGCAGTGCATAGACACAGACCGCCTCGTCATCTTCACACTCAATGTGGAGTAATCAATTCTTTCTCATTTTTGGTCCTTCCTATAGAAGAAGCATGCCAAAGTAAGCAACACAAACAAACAAACAAACACAAACGCACATCTTTCATGAATCTCAAGTATTAAAGCCAAGAAATTATCCAACCTGAACAAGAACAAGCAGTAACGCAACCCTTAAAAAATGATTTAAACTGATGAACACACTAACCGCAACTATGAAGAGCGACCCATTTGCAGGAGCTTATAGAAACTGATTGATGTGAATGCTATGAAGCAAAAAAAAAAGAAGCAATAAAGTATCGTCTTTTTTTTCTGGAGGAGAAATTGGAACAACGATCAGACTCTGAAAGTAAGAGTAAAGTGTGAGGAAAGTTCTTACTTTTAAGGTTGCGGAGAAGGAAAGCTTCTTAATTTGAGCTGTTTTAGCGTATCCGTCGTTCTCAATTCGATTTCTAAATTTTCAAAAGTTTGGATTTTTTTGGGAAAATTTAGTCAAAATGCAAAAGTGATGGGGTCATATTGTAATTTATTAAATATTATTGGGTCTGTTTGTGAATAAACCAATATTTGGGGTTTCTCTCTCTTCAACCTCAGTCGCCGATCTTCAACAGTGGCTGCAACAAGAGAGAGAGAGAGAGAGCGATACAATGGCGATGACTCTTATGAAGAGAGCAATATCTAGAACCGAAACCGTCGGTGCTTTCAGACTCTCGCTTAATCTCCTAAGGAATTTCTCTGCGGCGCCGGCGGCGGCATCTACTCCGGCGAGTGAAAACCCTAGCTCCGATGCGAATAAACCTAAACGAAGAAAGAAGAAGAATTTAATCGAAGTCGCTCAGTTCTTACCTAATTGGGGAATCGGATACCATATGGCTAAAGCTCACTGGAATGGAATCTCTTATGAAATCACTAAGATCAATCTCTATAAGGTTCTTCTTCTTCTCTTTCATGTTTGGATTGAAAAGTTTACATTTTTCGTCTGCTAAGAAAACGTTCCTATTACGAAATCATTTGGGGCTTCTTTATCTGATTTGGGTTTTGTTTGATTCTGGATTCAAATGCAGGATGGTAGACATGGAAAAGCTTGGGGAATTGTTCACAAAGATGGTGAACTTTTGTTCCTCATTTGTTTAGTAATACTATGTTTCTATGCTCATTGATCTCAAAGTTGAAGCTTTTTGTCATGTGTATGGGGTGGAGTAGCCATAACTGGAACTAGATAATCACCATTGCATTGGTGTTGAAGTTTTATGCAGCTTTCATGAGAGTAACGTACATACATATTCTCAAAATGCAGGATTGCGAGCTGCGGAAGCTCCAAAGAAGATAAGCGGAGTTCACAAACGGTGTTGGAAGTATATCCCAAACCTGTCAAAGACTGCTCCTGCAACAAACTCTGCAACCGCTGCTGATGTCCAAGCTGCCTGAACTGTTTACTTCCATTGTTGTGGGTACTTCTCCATATATCTGTTTGCGGTTTCTTTTTATTGGGAAGATACAGTTGTTGTGACTTGATAGTTTCTTTGAATTCGTCGATAGCTGTGTAGGAAATGATCCATAATCTCGGATGATGATCGGTTGTTCGTTCTTCTTGTTAAGACTTTGCACTTCTTGCGTTGGATTTTGCTGTGCCTGCATCACTGAGCCTAGGGTTTTGCTACTATTCAGTATGAACTTGTTTTGTAGGAGATCTTCTGGTTTTAAACATGTAATAAACGACCTCAATTACGAGTGGCAGGTTTTAGTTTCTGTCTCCAACACTTTTGTTTTTTCATACTACATATGAATTAGAACGAAACTTAACTGACATTTTCTTCCAGAATTTGGGGAAGCTCAAACCCAAATCCCAAATTTTCAATATTTGAAAGTCTCCATGTCGCTTGAGGATGAAGACATGTGAAAAGGATATGATTTAATAGTCTCCTCTTCGACACAACATCTTTGTTTCTTTGTTCAAATAATACATCTCTTGCAGTAAAAATCAACTTGAATACCTCTCCTGATCTTGTATAGTGTCGCTTTATCGAATCTTCCATGTTATGGAATGGAAGATAGTCTTGTTGGACCAATTTTACATTTCTCCCAATTTCCGTGGACTAAATTGCATCACAGACTCCAAAACCATCGTTTTGATTAACTTTTTAATGAAAGCAGTTTTTGGTTGAACCAATCTTAGCCAAGTATCAGGAATCCACATATGAACCAATCCATATGATATATCTAAGTCCTTGCTTTAAAGGATATCTTCATGTCAGCAAAGACCTCTCGTAGAGCTGTCAAAATGGGCGGGCCGCCCATGGGCTGTCCGTGTCCAACACCTAATGGACCGGTCATGGACAAGCCCACTTTGACATGACCAGTAATGGACTGGACTATAATGGATATGGGTTTTATTGGACTGGACTCTAATGGAATTGGGCGGCCCAATAGACAAAAAATGTTAGGTCAAATGATTTGGGGGAAAAAATGAAAAATCGTCAAAAGACTCAAAACTTTCTAAAATCGAAAATCAGAGCTTCTCCGGCGATTTCTTCGCAACAGAGCTTGACGTGAGTGAGTCTAGAGAGCAAGCATTCCAAATGTGTGTTGATACTGTGGGAGTTGAATCTAAAGCAGGGCTGTTATTAGATGTATCTACAAGATGGAATTCTACACATCTAATGTTAAAGAGAGCCATCATTTACAAAGAAGCATTCCGGCATCTTTCTGAAGTAGATGCAAGTTATCAAAGTTGTCCATCCACTACAGAATGGGAGAGCTGAGTTAATTCATGAGTTCTTGACCCCATTTGCAGAGATGACGAATTTGATCTCTGGATCATCTTATCCAACGGCGAATTTATACTTCATGCAAGTATGGCAGATTGAAATGTGGTTAAAAAGCCATGAAGACCACTATGATGAAGTAATCCGTGACATGGTGATTGGTATGCAAGAGAAGTTTGGTAAATATTGGAGTGAGTACAGTGATATCCTTGCCATTGCGGCAGTGTTTGATCCTAGACTGAAGTTCCCTATGTTGGAGTATTGCTTCAATACACTTGATGCTTCCGGTTCTAAATCTAAGATTGATCACTTGCATAAGAAGCTGAAGAAGCTTTTTGATGTCTATAAAAAGAACCCAAAGAAAGCTGCTGGAACTTCAGACTCCACAGTGGGACAAAACATTCTTCCAGGATATGATGTAAGTTTCTCTGTGTAAGAAGTTTTAAAACTCTGTGAAGGATAATGTGTCAGAAGTTTCTGTGATTCTCAGAAACTGTGCAAGTATAGTCTTTGTCTTTAACTCATTCTGTCTTTAAGTATAGTCAAATGGTTTCTTAAGTATAGTTTCATCAAAGTGTATTGGTTTCTCAGAAACCGTTTCTGGTATGATTGCTGCAGGTTTGTAGTCTCTGTGATTCTGTCTTTTAAGGATAAAAACTCATCATTTTCATGTATTGATCTGTGTATTGTCTGTCTATGCAGGGGTTTTATGCTTTTATTTCTCAGACGGCTGGTGCTAATGGAAAGTCCGCATTAGACAAGTATTTGGATGAACCTGTTTTGGATATGGTGGCCTTTAAGAGCATGGATATATTGGCTTATTGGAGAGACAACGCAAACCGGTTCAAAGAATTGTCTGCTATGGCCTGTGATGTCTTGAGCATCCCCATTACAACAGTAGCTGCAGAATCTTCATTTAGCATAGGAAGCCGAGTCTTAAATAAGTACATGAGTTCACTTCTTCCTTCAAATGTGCAAGCACTGATTTGCGCAAGGAATTGGCTACGTGACTTTGAAGAAATTAGTAAGTGTTTGTGCTTATTTTCTTTTGTCATATTTGAATCAATTTGAATCTTATTGCAAAGTTGTTCTTCTGCTGTACTTAGGTGTTCCAGTTGAGTTCCTTGATGAAGACAAAGGTGTGAAGGAAGGAGAAGAAGAAGTTTAAGACATTTGTGAAGGAAGTAGAAGAAGAAGTTCACATTTGAATACTTTATTGCTATGATTTGCTTTTGGATTTGATACTTTGTTGCTTTGATTTGCTTTTGTATGTGATACTTTGTTGTTTATTTGGATATTTGTCTTAAACTTTTGGATTGAATTTGAGATTTTTGCAGATTTTGGCGTTTTTCATAATTTGTTCTTGTGGTGATCAATGGACACCAATGGACACCAATGGACAGCCCATTAAAACATGGGCTATAATGGGCATGAGCTATAATGGATATGAGCTATAATGGACATGGACATTATTTGTCCATAACTAAAATGGTCAATATTGGACCGGGCTAATGGACGTGGACAGCCCATTTTGACAGCTCTAGATGATGGGTTAACCAGAGAACCAATTTTAAAATATCTTTCAGTTCAGTAAACTGTCTTGATTGGTAATAATAATAAAAAAAAAAAAAAAAAAAAAAAAAAAAAAAAAAAATCTCTTGAATTTGACCAATCAATCTCTCCATACTTGTTAGGCTAGAAGGGCCCTATTGAACCAGTTCAAATCCATGAAGCCCATCCCTCTTTTAATTTTTATTTTGGCCCTGTATATGTTATCCAAGGCATTTTCTGATTCTCTTCTATCAAATTGTCAATACTCAATACAAGGCTATCAATTTTTTGGTATCAAGAAACAATTTCATCAAATATATGAATTGTCTTGAAAGTTGATACATCGAATATATTCAAAAAAAAAACAACAGGTCTCAATTAAAGAAGGTTGCTGTTTTATAGACCAAAATGACATTATAAGCTACACACTTTTGACCCAAAAAAGGAAAAACAAAGGCTACACTGTTCCATGATAACAAAACAAAAAATGATTTAAGAAAAATTGAGAAATTATCAAAAACATTTTTATATATTTTGTCAATAATCATGTTTATACATAGGGTCGAAATTAAAATATTTGTACTGTTACTGTAGCTGTAACTATATTGAACCCTAATTTATAAATTATAACTACGTTTATACAAATATGTAGTATAATCTAGTCAACTCAAATATGATTTTAAAAAAAAACAGGAGAATTTCAAAGAGCTTGTTGGTGAAATAAACAGACTATTTAAAATCGAAAAAAATAGACACATTGATACTGTTAAATTACTCAGCTTCTATATGTAACTTCAAATTTAATAGAATACAATTTTTTTTTTAAAACTACTGTTCTTAACTACTGTGTATAAATGAAAATAGCATTCCAAATTTGTTCTTTTATTTTTTTTCTTTGGAACAATAATTGTTAAAGAAACGGTAAGTTTCCTTCCAGCCAACATTGTTACATCCTGACACAGCCACTGACATTGACAGTGATTTTTATGTTTAGTTTCATCAATACCCCTCAACTTCTAAACATTTTCATTTTGACACCTCATGTTTATATACTTTTTAACATAACCCAACACTATTGAATATATGTTCACAGTCCAGAGTTCACCAACCCACATCAAATCAAAATCAGTTTAAGCTTAAATTCATTATGATATATTTTCTTGTATAAACAATCCAAGTAATGTACTAACTACTAAGTGTCGAATGAAACTTTATAGAAGCAAAGTACTTAGTTTTTCACGCTATGAGTAAAGTACTAAACACCACCTCTATAAATTTTTGTTGGAAAAAAAAATCTAACTTATTGAAGATAACAAAAAAAGTACTATAATAAACGCTTTTTCGTCCTATTAATGTTCTAACTTTGAAGTAACGTGGATATATACTTCATTAGTAAATCTATAACTTCTTTTTGTTCAGTTTTGTTTCTTAAGTAACAATTAATATTTTAGGAACTGTAATTATATTGTGATTGAATTTGATCATAGATTAACTTAAACTTCAATAAGAAATGTACTTTGTAATTAAAAAAAAAATCTACTCGTACAAAAAAGAAGTACATACAATCGTTTATTCAAAGATAGATATGAAAAATTAAGTGGAAATTCAATGTAGAATCATGAGTTAAGAATCCGTACCACGGGATCTAACAATGTTAAAAAGCACCCACCTTGTTTTGATATATCTTCCAAACTTGAGGGAGACAAAAAAAAAAACCAACAACAAGTAAAAAAATTTGTCTTAAAAACCAAAAAGATAATAATAATTAAAAAAGAACAGAACAGAAGCTGCTCTTTTGTCCAAAGCTTCTTCCTTTCTCTTTCTCCAACATTTCTTCTCTGCAAGTTAAAACTTACTAAAATAAAATAAATTAATAAACCCTTCAAGACAAAATTAGCTTTTTTGTTTTTTTTCTTTTTTGGTTTTTTATAATTTTGTTTTTGTTTCCTCGTAAAACCCATGAGTGACCCCTTTGGTTCTTCCTCTTTGCTTTAATCCTCAAGAAAGAAAAAAAAAATGCCTTCTTTTGCTTTTGGATCTCATCACCATTTGGCGAATCCTAGAGACTCGCCGTACTCCGTCGAAATTAGCGTCGACGGTGACTCCTCCGACTTGGATTCTTTGTCTGAGGTTGATTTAGAGTCCGGCGGTGTACCGGCGCCGGAGAAAAAGCTACATTCCTGTGGTAAGAAGAGGAGAACAAGGAGGAGAAAGAGGAGGAAGAAGAAGAAGAAGAAAGGTGGAAGAGATTGCAGGATCTGTCATCTTCCTTTAGAGACTAACAAAGAAGCTGAAGAAGAAGAAGAAGAAGAAGAAGAAGATGATTCTGATGAAGATGAAGATGAAGAAGAAGAAGAAGAAGAGTATTATGGTTTGCCTTTGCAATTAGGTTGCTCTTGTAAAGGTGATTTGGGTGTAGCTCATAGTAAGTGTGCTGAGACTTGGTTCAAGATCAAAGGAAACATGTAAGTTTCTTTCATTTCTCTTCAAGACTTTATATTCTTTTTTTGGAATTCTGCAAAATTCTACAGATTCTGTGAACAAAAATAGTAAAGGATGAAACTTTATGAGGAAACAAAAGTATTTGCTTTTTATGTACTTGGAGTTTTTTTTTCCTTCTTGTCTGATTTCTAGAGATCCATATGATTGCTTCTTAGAAAGATTGTCTACTGAAGCTGGAATCTACAGTTTTTGTGGCCACCAATTGTTGTCAACTTGTGTCTCATGTTCTTATTTTCCTGCACATTTTGGATTGATTGTTTGTTGTCTCAATTAAAGCCGGTTTCTGTGATTTGCTTCAAAACATTCAGTTTTGAAGTGTTGATTTTGCAGCTGCATTGAGAATCTTGTAGTTCCTTTTGTTGAGACAGTTTGAATTTTACCAATCAAAATTATATTCATAGCTCTGTTTAGCTTCTGTTTCTGTGTCTTTGCATTGTCTTAGGCCGTATAAACCGGTTAGAATTACACCTCTTCTTGTATGTTTACAAGATGAAGCAAGTCTCCAAGGCCAAGGGCTTTACTGATTAGCATTTATCATATTGTTCTATGAATCTGAGCAGGACATGTGAGATATGCGGCGCAATGGCTCTAAACGTGGCTGGTGAACAATCAAATCCGGAGAGCACTGCCTCTACCCATTCACAAGCAGCTGCGGCAGGACAATCTCAAACTCAGACAGAGCCACGAGGAATCTGGCATGGTCGCCCTGTTATGAACTTCTTACTTGCTGCTATGGTCTTCGCCTTCGTTGTTTCTTGGCTTTTTCACTTCAAAGTCCTCAAGTGAAACGTTTTCCATCTCTCTCTCTTTCGCCCACCCGCACGCGCTCACTCTTCTCCTGTTCTTGAGCCGCTTGCAATTGCTGAATCAATCCCTCCTGTTGCTTGATTATTCACACGTTTTGTAGCTGTAAAAACTTGGTAGTGTTTAGATTGTTGTAACTTGTGAGATTTATGTATAATATTATCCTCTGTTCCGGCTTGGTGAAAACCTCTGTGTGGTCAGGAGGGTCTTAGATCTTTTGGTTTCAGACACAAACATCTTTGGCTTTAAAAACTATAAATACTGGACAATAGTTGTGATCAATCTGTTTTTGTACTTCAGATGAAGAAATTAGTTTGAAAAAATCACATTTAAGGATCTTGTACTTAAATGAGAAAGATCCTTCTTTTCTTGATTCAAATGTGATTTGAATCATCTCTTCAAATTGGAAACCACAAATTTAAGATAATGCTTCAAGAAAACAAAGACAACGAGGCTTTCTCAGAATCCAATCAGAAAACGAAGAAGACGGAATATAGAAGAAACCTATACACTTGAAGTTTTCAGTTTCTGTTGTTCTGTTTCTTGGCTTCCAAGGAAGTTCCATCTTTTAGGGTTTCACAGGCGTCTTTATCCATTCCAAGGCTGAAGAGAGCAGCAGCCTGAAGATAGAAAGCCGTTGGCCATTCAGGAGACACTACTTGCGCCTGCATTGCATCACCAAGAGCCTCTTGAGGCATATTGCTCATCAAATAACACAAACACCTCCTTGCAAAAACTGTTGGCGATACCATTGTACCATCTTCGATGAACTGCAGATACAATAAGACGGACTGAGTCGAGTTCCCGGGGAATTATGTTTCTGGGTTTCAAGAAAGTAACCACTTTCTGTTTCTTACCTGCGTGTAACATTCAACGGCAGTGACAAAGTCTTTGCCTTTGAATGCCGCATCTCCTTGTTTCTTTGAGTTTAGAGTCTCCTGAATCTGGTCGGTCCACACTTGGAACGAGAGCTGTATTGCAAATAAAACACGAACCTCAATGTAAGACTAAGAACTTTTTTTTTCTCAACAAAGCTCTACATTTGAAGGTCAATAGGTCATTGACCTCATAGAAGATGAAGAAGCTTCTTGTTCATGTACATACCTCATTTGCTACGCCCTCGTCATCTTTGTATCCCACCTTTTCAAGAATTTCATGTATCGCAGTGAGATCAAGTCTTGAACAAGCGTCACCAAGAGGGGTTAGCGAAGTTGTTTCCTTTGGAGAAGTAGCTCCATGTGGAATCCCCATTAAGACATAAGATGGAATCTGAAGAAAACAACAGAGATACAGAACAAGACGAGGAGTCAGGAGACTTATATGGTTGTTACATTAAAGGAATGTGATTGAGTGCATACATCAGTTTCTTTCTGAAGAGGAGCGAGTGAGGACACGAGAGATTTCACATTTGGCCTTTCACGAGCTTCATACTGCAAACAACGGGAAGCTAAACGAACCAAATCGGTTCCATCATCGTTTGAGAAATGACCGTCAAGACACGAGTCCATCAGCATCAGGAAGTTCTTGCCACGAATCAGATCAAGCGCCTGCAGAACAATGATAGAGCATATGGAACTTAAATCAACATTTTCTGGGATCAAGGAGAAGAAGCTAATAGATCAAGAACTTCCTTCCAAGAGATGTTGAGACATGTTTGGTGCACTTACATGGCTTGGTGGTATGTGTTTGCCGCTGAGAAGATCTAGCAACAGCGTTCCAAAGCTGTAGACCACGCTCTCCGGAATCACTCTTCCTTAAGAGATTAATAAACAAACATTGATTCATCAGATCAATGACTGTGACAAACAGCAAACACATAACTTGACGCCATTGCATCTCATATGATATAAGTAACTGACCTGTTCTTAGGTATTCAGGAGGTGTGAAAGCCAAATTTGTACTGTAACTCTTCCCATCCCTACTATTCTTCATAAGACCGAAGCAAGATAATCTCGGGTTACCATCCTGTAATCAAGATTATAGAAACATTATCAGAATCCCTAACCAGCAACTTATACGAAAATAGAAACATAAATCTGATCAACACCAAGAAAGAGATAAGAAAGATGATAGTAAGCTCGAGATGGACCTGGTCAAACAAGATCCTGTAAGCATTAAGATCGTGATACAAGGCGCGACCTTTGCTGCTGCAATACTCAAGTGCTTGTGCAAGATACAAAGCCACTCTCAACCTCATAGACCACTTCATTGGCTGGCTATCCCCTACATATCATCACACATTTATTAAGTTCCACCATTCTTTTGCAGACAAAATTGAATTCTCACACCAATAGTAACGAAACCGATGATTCTTTCATCATAAATAACATATGAGCGTTTAAAGTCTTGATCTTTTGTCCAACAAGAAAATCCAGAAACAAGAAGCTCCATCTAAATCTCCTAAACACTGTGTTAGAAGAGTTGCTAATCTCTTAAAGATGATGAAAAGCCTTACAATGGAAGAGATGCTTAGAGAGAGTTTCAAAAGGCATAAACTCAGCAACGAGCAATCTCTCATCTCCTTCACAACAGAATCCAATCAAATTCGCCAACCTCTCATTCCTCAACTGCCCAACAGCTTTTGCTTCTTCCTAAAGAACAATCAAATGAAACAGTAAACAACAACAATAAACCACTAAATGCAGCAGGGTGTTAAATTGAAACGTAAATGATAGAACCCATCAACAGAAATGAGTAAAGGAATCAAATTTACGAGAGTTCGTACAAGAAATTGACGAGTATCAGGCCAAGCGGATCTATTGAAGCGTTTAACAGCGATCCATCGGTCATCCTCAAGTCTGCCTTTATACACAACATTAGGAGCTTTAACACCATGTTCGGAGACGATACTGTCCGTAGAGAATCCACAAGTAGCAGCTCGTAGTTGGTCGAAACTGAACTCTGTAAACGACGGCAAATCGTCTGTTCCGTTATCTGTCGGAACAAAAACAAAAAAACTCAAACTTTGTTAGATAGAGAGAGAGTGTGAAAATGCGGGAAAGGTAGAGACTTTAAGTAAGAAGAAGTGGTTATTACCAAGATCAGAAGCGTCGTTGTGAGTTGATTTGAGATGGGTCGGCCACCAACAGAGAGAGAGCTTAGAGCAACGAGGTCCCATTTTGGGTTTCAAAGATTTAAGGAAGATAGAAAGATTTCTTCTTAGCTAAACTCGAAAAGCAAAAACCTTTTTTTTTTTGGTAAGAGAAGAAGTCGAGAGAGATTTAAGAGAAAAAAAGGTTTTGTTTTTTTTTTAGTTCTCGAGGAGAAAGGAATCTGTAGAAAAATTTATATAGCGCACGTAGTGGGGAAGAGACACAGTGGTGAATCATTGAAAAACGTTAAATTTCTTGAGCAATTTTTTTGAGTGTTTTACTTGTGGATCCAATGTTTCTCTCTCTCGCTTTTTTACTTTTGTTTTTTCATTAAATATCTAACATTTTTACATTTTTTCACTTTTTCTAAATGTGGAATGTTGAGTTCAAAACTAGATTTGAACTGAACTTTGATATACATTCTGATAGCGTTAAAACTAGGCCTGGGCGTTCGGATTTTGGATCGGATTCGGATCGGATATATTCGGATTCGGATAATTTGGGTATGAGAGTTTATTATCCGTTCGGATTTTATGACTTTTCGGTTCGGTTTCGGTTCGGATATATTCGGATTCGGATAATTTGGATAGGAGAATTTATTATCCGTTCGGATTTTATAAGTCTTCGGTTCGGATAGATGTCGGATTCGGATCGGTTTTTGGGGAAAAAAAACTGAAAAATTCGTTTAATCTTACTAAAAATTCGTTTAATCTTACTAAAATTTGGTTAAAGTTTGCAAAAATATGTATAATTTTAACAAATATAACTAAAATTTTTCCGAAATCTAGGTTATTTAGGAAATTTTTGTTATTTTCTATAAAATTACAACTAAATCTAACTAATATTTTTAGATATATAATTTTATTTTCGGTTTTCGGATATCCTTTCGGTTTTCGGTTCGAATCGGGTTCGGTTCGGGTAATTCGGATAGGAGAATTCATTATCCGTTTGGGTTTTATGACTATTCGGTTCGGGTTCGATTCCAGATTTTTCGGATCGGTTTCGGATCGGTTTTCGGATTTCGGATTTTATGCCGAGCCCTAGTTAAAACAGTATTTTGTTCGATTAGTAGTTGGATACTTTCAAGTCTCACTTTACAAAACTATATAGATAATAACAAAATTGATTTACATATATTTTACAACCTTAATTAAATATATTTTGTTGTCTATTATATCACCATTAGATTTTAAACTAGTATTATTAATAATAAATTTTTCTTATTTACGATGAACAAATATAACTTTTACAGTATTTTAGAAGAACAATAAACCATTTTGGGAAGTTTGCTAAATCAATTATATGAAAGTTTTTAAGAATGTTTTGAAAGGTGTAGGAATGTTTATAAATTTTTTTCCTTTAATTGGTGTTTTTGAAAGATAACAAACAAAAATAAAGTATTTAGAGTAACTTTAAAATAAAACCAAATGAGGAAATAGAAAGAAAAAAAACAGATTAATCGAGAAATTGTACGTTTCTTTTGTCGTCGGACTAGACAACCTTGAGTAACTCTGAAATGTCCGGTTAAAAAATTAAAATATGAAGTGAAAAAATCAAAACCAATAATGCGAAATATTACTAAATTAGGGGCAAAATCGTAAACTGAGTGGTCAAAGGGTCAAAGCTATGTGTGCATGCGTGTGGATGTGAATATTAAAAAAAAGTGGCAGTGGTAGTAATAGTTTAGGAGAAGTTGCATTTATGTGTCCTCTCCAAGTCTCCCATTTTACTGAATAAATCTATCTAATATATTCCTTCCGTTTCGTTTTACTTGTCGTTTAAGGTTTTTTCACACAAATTAAGAAAAACATTAAATTTTCTATTTTACTCTTTATTAATATATTTTATAAAAAAATTTATTGGCCAAAACATTAAAACAGTAGGGATAAAACTGGAATTTTCACCAAACATTTGCATTGAAAACTTAAAACGACAACTAATATGAAACAAAATTTAAATCCTAAAACGACAACTAAACTGAAACGGAGGGAGTAGTTTTTTCTTCATATATTTAACTCAAATTGCCAAAGGAATTTGCCTAAACTACAGATTTTATTCAATTTGTTTAATACTATATTGTAATATATCCACTCCATCTATAAAAATATGATGTGGGTTTTTATTCAACAGACGATAACTTTGATTTGATAAAAGAATGTTACAATTTCACTTTGTTCTGTACTTTATATTATATGAGCATTTGAACCCATAAGAAAAGAACTTTCCAGCTAAAATGACTCAGACCGGTGACCCAACCAAAAGAAAGAGGTCCATGAAGCATTTTATATGAGAGTCAAGAGCTTTCGCGGAGTATCATATATATACGTATTACACCGCAAAGCTCATTTTTCTTATAAAGTTAAATCTTTCTCTATTATATGTATACGTATTCGAACCAACTTTTTGTTTGTTTAAATAATTCTTTATTTATAAGAACAATTAATGTTGGTTGGTGGAGAGAAAGAGGATCTTGGTGATAAATATGGTAAAGAAAGTAGTAATAGAAGATGACTTCACGCGTGTGTCAAGGAGATGTTTGTTGTCCTTTGGGGGACACATTTTAGCCTAATTTAAGATGCTCTTAAGTGACCAAGCTAGGACCACTACAACTATAAATAATGGAAGATAAATCATATTCTTGTAGACAATGGAGCGTTAGTTTGAACTTTGAAGGTTGCATGTTTTTAAACCTAGTTTCGAATTCGACTCTTGGCTCAAGAAAATGTTCAAGCCAATAACGAAATTTTGGCAACCTATATTATCTACACAATAAAAGTAATAGGTAGCAATCATAAGCTTTGAAACAAAATCTTTCAATATGCAAATTGCTCTATAACTTTTATTTCTTATGATGGAAAGATGAAACCTTAATTTTTACATATTTAGAAGCAACTTACAAGAAGTTGAATAGTGTTCCGGTTATTTGAAAAGCACTACTCAACCTATAAGACGCGATTTTTGCTATATATTAGTTTTGGAATTTTTAAAGTCAATGTTGTATATCGAATTTGTTGTCTTTAGAGACTATATAGAGTTCATGTTTTTTTTTTCTTTCTTTTTGTAAATCTTCTTTAGATACTAGTGTTTTAGAGGGTTTTGACAAAAGACCAGCAATAAGATACTTTTACACACACACAAAATGTATTAGGCAAAAAAGAAACCGAATAGTCTATAGGATATTTATAATTACACCTCACATTTAACAAAAAAGTGTATGTAATTACATATATGGATAGTATTGGTCCACCCAATGTCGAGTTTTCAGAGAACACATTACTTGTTCTTAACCACATTCAAACTATCCGCTTTGTAACGAACACATGCAGCCACGTATAAATGGATTATAGTGTGATTACAATAATTCAGAGTCTTCTTTACGACAAAAATAAAAGAGAATCTGAAAGATGTTTTATAAGAACATACATATGCAAATACATGTAATGATGGAGTTTGAAGGATTTCTATGTAAAAAGTAATCTAAATAGATGTACGTAAACACGTTGGCCAAAGTGAATAACTAATTGTTAGAACCATCTTTTTAACAAAAATTGATAATTAATTGTATTGAAAATTTTATTGTTAATATAATAAATAAATTGATCTAAAACAGACTGGCATTACATGTTAACAAATATTGCAAGAGATCAGTTTCAGAAAACATAATCATTTAGACAAAGGAAATATCGTTTGGTGAAATCTCGGATAATCTTCTCAATAATGAGATTCTATATATACAAATTGGCATATGGCAAATTGGATATTGATGGGTCTACCTTGTTGCTTGTTGTGAGTTCAAAGTGCATAAAGCTATAAAATCCACTCTGTTCCTCACTGTCTTTGTGACCGAAAAAACAACAACTTCACGTGAACGATGGCAACATTTTTATTCTTTTCTTATACCTCTAAGAATCACTTTTGACTTTACAAGACTAAATTTTGAGAAGATGAGGTAATCAAATCTCAAATTTATGCAGAACTAAGACTTATCTATAATTTACATGGAATGTTTATTAAAAAAAAATCAAACTTTGTCTGATCAGCTGGGCCAGGTTCAAAAACACTGTTCCTGTGAATCCAATTCATCATGACAAATGATCACATGGCAACATCAAAAAAGGCCCTTTAATTTTCCAGAGTCAGGCTTTTGATGTTTCAGAAACCAAAGATTTTCACAGCTTGAAAGTAGCCAACATTATATATGGAGAGATAAGATATAAAAAATATTCACACTTAAGAGTTGGGAAGATCATTAGACTAACTACTTTAAAGATATCTTCTAGCTGCTTTCTTATTTCATGCAACTGTTTTTATCTCTTAGGCTTAACACTAATAATATGACCACATACCTGCAAGTAAAAAATTTGGGTTTGAAGTAAAAATATAAACTTCAGACCCGCCCGACAGGCGAGAGCGGCGGTTGATACCCGACGGTGTTGCCATTAGGGTTTGAATCTTGGTCCGGGACTAACATGGTTTTTCCCCTAGCTTTATGTTCATCACAAGAGCTTTTGTGCTCAAGGGTAATCTCTGACATTTTCCTACTCTCTGCAAGTGCCATACATATGGAGAAGGCTTGTAGTTGTGAAAGGGATGAATTATACACCACTGAATATATCCCTTCTTTGATCGGTTTAAAGCTCACGAACGGAAGTTCCTCGGGTTGTTCTCCCTGGAAACACGTAGAAATGGGATGATGAATTCTTTTTGTTTTGATATCGAAGAGGGAAAAAAAGGGAGACGGGATTTGGAACTAAGTAGAGAATATGTACCAGAAAGAAAAGCTCGAATCGGTTTGAAGAGGGTGGTGAGTTTGAAGTTGTAGAGTTCTTGTAGGAGAGGTTGTGCTGATTTGTAAGAATTCTGAGATTACAGCCCATGTCCCAACCTCCACAATCGCAAGATCCACCTGTTCTCCATCGCTGGATCAAAGACGATGGCCCTCCTTTCTGAGGCATACTATGAACACCGCTTTGAAGTATGACAGTAGCACTAATGTCTTGGTCAAAAAACCTGTCTTTGATGTGATCTTCAAGCTCTCCACTGGGTGCATTGTGATCCTGAACCGTGTTTAGTGATGCCCTCCTGTGAAACCATCTTGGCATCTTCACGATGATCGCAGCTAGCTCGTTTTTCAACTGCAGATCAGACTTTTCCGTGCTTTCTTGATCAAGTTCTACAGAGAAGAGAACAAACTCTCTGATGGAACCAGATGGC